AGGGACAGTATACAAATCATCATCATCATCATAGGTACTTTGTGTGATATTTTACATGAGTTGGTGCTATATAAACACACACACACACTTCTGTTTTACAATTTAAAATACTCATTTTAACATCCTTAAAATATCAATGACTTCCCTTCTCTTTCCATGGTTCATTTTGCATATCATAAATCCCTGCATATTTTACAAAAAACTAAACCATTCAGTATTCCATTATTGCATCCATCAAAACTTATTTACACTGCTGAATTTATCAGGTGTACACAAACATTTCCCAATCTGTTCTTCTTCTGCTTTTATTTATACATGCGTACGCTTTACATATGCATTCAGTCTCTCTGAGGATCAGAAAACAATATAATTCTCAACAATCACGTATTAAGAGGGATCCCACCAGAAGTGGTTGCTCTGATATTTTTGCTGACCAGCTCTTTGCTGTCTTTCAAAACCCGCAGGAAATAGGAGAGAACTGAGGATCGTCCTTGTGGGCAAGACTGGAGGCGGCAAAAGCGCCACAGGAAACAGCATCCTTGGCCAGAAGCTCTTTGATTCGAAACTTCAGGCCAGGACAACCACCTTGTCCTGCCAAAGGGCGTCCTGCACTTGGAGAGGCCATCCTGTGTCCGTGATTGACACAGCGGATATTTTGGGCACAGGAGATTGCGATGAAAGGCTGGACCAGGAGACCAAGCGCTGCCTTGACCTCTCTCAGCCTGGCCCTCATGCGCTCGTGTTTGTGACCCAGGTGGGCCGCTTCACCGCGGAGGACGAGGAGGCAGCCCAGCGAGTCCAGGAGATGTTTGGGACAGAAGCCATGAAGCACACCATCCTCTTGTTCACCCGCAAAGAAGCCTTAGAAGGCGACTCCTTGCGGGATTACGTGATGCAGTCAGATAACGAGGCTGTCCGGAAGCTGGTCCAAGAATGCGGGGGGCGCTTCTGCGCTTTTAATAACAGGGCGGCATTAGGAGAACGGGAGGACCAGGTCTCTGAGCTGATGGAGATGGTCCTGGAGATGGTCCAGGGAATGAAGAGCCATACCTGGAGACGCCCATCATGGAGGCAGCGCTTGGATCTTACATCTGCAGGAAAAGGGCCAAGGGAGAGGGGAAAGGGAAAGCTCGCAAGGGTGTCAGCTACATAAAAATATTTCTCGTCATATGTGTGTGTGGTGCAGGGCTTTACTTTTTTCTTTATAATCGTTTCTCTCAATATCTCCCCTTTAGCAAAGCTGGGGATTTTTAAAGCCAGCCCACCTGCTTCTTATGAGGTGTCAGGAGAAAAACAAATGAACAAATGAACAAACCGGATTGTCTGGGTGCAATATCCAAAGAATCACCTGCTTAGTATTTTATTTGCCATTGTATCAGTTGCAATGCCCCTGTGACTCTGGACAAATAGGAACAACAGACCATGTGCTTCTCCAGTGCCTATACTATAGAGACATTTGTATTAGCCTCCTCTCCCCATTACACCACAAGTACTCCAAGGTGCACAGGACCATTTTATACCTCCCTGCTGCTGTCAGATCCCAACCCTGTTACAACATACGACATTGCCAGGTTCTGCACAGCAGCGCTCGGATGATGACCTGCACCACAAACTAGATTTCATGAACACTCACATCATAGTGCTCTCTAAACTGATAGTTGTAGTCTTTTATATACTAATCTTTTATGCTCCTCCACATCCATTTAATGCTCCTAACCCATCTTTTAGTTTCTTTTAGATTCTTATAGTCTTTTAGATATACCTTCTCTTTTAATACTTTTTAGCTTTCCAAAACATTTTACAGATTCTAAATGATTGTACCCCACCCTACTTATTCTGGTCTATGGCCGTAATAAAGATTTGATTGATTGATTGATTGATTGATTGATGATGGATTGCATCAGTTCATTCCATTTCTGAATCACACATCGAACCAATTGAACAGGACAAACATAACAATAAAAGCACATATAAAACTATTCCACGTACGCAGACAAGGAAACAAACTCACATATCTTATCAAAGCCAGTACTAGGGCTGGATGGTAATATTGTCCGGAAGTGGTTTGAAGTCCGTATCGTGGTATCGGTTTCATAATATTTGACCTGGCAGTTTATCGCAAATCATGATGTGTGTGTACTATGCAGAAATCACAATGTGGGAATAATAATAATAATAATTTATTATTTATACCCTGCCCATCTGGCTGAGTTTCCCCAGCCACTCTGGGCGGCTCCCAATCAGTGTTAAAACAGTACAGCGTTACATATTAAAAACTTCCCTGAACAGGGCTGCCTTCACGGGAAAAACTGTGAAGCCAGTCAGTGCCTCTACACAGCTCCATCCATACATCAGACATTGTGATATATCGGTATATCATGGTGTTTAGCTGGTGATATATGGCCGTGTTGAAAACCAGATATCTGTTCACATCTATAGCTCCATCCTTATTTCAGACATTGTGATATATAAATATATTGCAGTGTTTAGCTGGTGATGCATTGCAATGATGAAAACCAGATATCGCCGTGCCCTAGCAAGTACAGATCAAAATCCCCACTTGTTAATGGGAAGGATTCTGATCTGGGTGGCAAACCATAATTATTCCCACTTAACAAATAGGTGACTGGGGCTGACTGCATACAGTATATTTAAGTTGCATGATTCTCCACAGAGAATTCTGGGAACTGGAGTCTGTGAAGGGTGTCTGGGATTGTTGCTCTCTGGGAGGTGAACTACAGTTCCCAGAATTCCTTGAAGGAAGTCATGTGCTCTTACTGTTCTTTCAATGTGTGATGCTGACCACTGACTGAGTTAAGTCCAAAACAAGCATGAATGAGTGTACATAAAGAAATTTTGAAAAGAGGAAGAAAAATGGTTTGGGGAGGGGGGTGTGGCGTTCGTACGGAGCCCCCGGTCGTCTTGCGGACTATTGACCCGTACACCACTAATCCGCTGCCACCAACCAGGTCCTCTCTGGTAAAAATCACTTCAGTCTCAGTCAGCTTTTCAATTCATAAAGAAGAATGTATTTTATTTCAGACTTAAAACAAAACTATTACAGCATTCCAAACAGTGTTCCTCTTTACTTTCTTAGTCTTATGTTCCTCTCTCTATCTCTGCTACCATCCCACACTCAAGGACCAACTGCCCTGTCTCTCTATTACCAACTGCCTTTCCCAACCAGCCAAGCCATGAAATCCAACCAACTACCCACCCACAACTCCCAACGAACTCCTCCCAGAACTCCTTTATAGACCCACTGACTCCACACCCCCCCCCTGGGTCCTGTCTGTGCAACCTATTTAACTATTTCCCCTCCAGCACCCTCTCATACATGGTAACGTCACAGGGGGTATTCAGAAGACAGAGAAGCCGGTGTTTAACCCTTTGCCTGCACACAATTTCCCCTCTCTAAATTCTCCTGATGACAAACCAACATGGTGCTCATAGCGCCAAGGTCACGAATTCAATCCCCTTACGGCAACTTGCAGATTCCTGCATTGCAGAGGGTTAAACTAGATGATGCTTGGGATCATCTCAGGATCAATTATATGATTCTAACCCTAAGCCATAAAATACAGAAATATTCCTTTAAAATACAAAAAGCATTTCATTCTGCCTTGCTTTTAAAGTGACAGAGGAGAAAGAGCAGCTTTCTCCTGAGACAAGCCTCTCCTGCAAGTCTGTTTGCCAGACTTGAGATAAGAAATGTCTTATCAGTTCTGAAGCAGCAAAGCAGTTACTCTCTGGAAAGTAGCTCAGCTCCTGCAGTTTGGAGAGCATTTTGCAAATGGGAATGTCCACAAGCAGTGCTGGATTTACGTAGAAGCTGAAGAAGCTATAGCTTAGGGCCCCATTCTCTTGGGGTCCCCTAAAAAATGTAAAGGGGAAAAAATGGTACATTTCCAAAATAAAGGTAAAGGGACCCCTGACCATTAGGTCCAGTCGCAGACGACTCTAGGGTTGCGGCGCTCATCTCGCTTTACTGAAGAAGAAGAGTTTGGATTTGATATCCCGCCTTTCACTCCCTTTAAGGAGTCTCAAAGCGGCTAACATTCTCCTTTCCCTTCCTCCCCCACAACAAACACTCTGTGAGGTGAGTGGGGCTGAGAGACTTCAAAGAAGTGTGACTGGCCCAAGGTCACCCAGCAGCTGCATGTGGAGGAGCGGAGACGCGAACCCGGTTCCCCAGATTACGAGACTACCGCTCTTAACCACTACACCACACTGGCTCTGTACTCTGTACTGGCCGAGGGAGCCGGCGTACAGCTTCCAGGTCATGTGGCCAGCATGATGAAGCCGCTTCTGGCGAACCAGAGCAGCGCATGGAAACACAGTTTACCTTCCTGCCGGAATGGTACCTATTTATCTACTTGCACTTTGACGTGCTTTCGAACCGCTAGGTGGGCAGGAGCAGGGACTGAGCAACGGGCGCTCACCCCGTCGCGGGGATTCGAACCGCGACCTTCTGATTGGCAAGTCCTAGGCTCTATGGTTTAGACCACAGCGCCACCTGTGTCCCTTCTCATTTCCAAAATAGAAGATAAAAAACAATTACTTTGATATAATGCATATTTTGTGATGTGCAAATGGCTTGAGATGCCTATGACGTCCATAAATTACCATATAGCATATATTCAACACAAAAAAACCAGCGACAATTTGTTGCTGACAAAGGACAGCTGGACATAGAAAGGGCCCCATTACCTTCAGGAGCTGAGGGCCTCTTCAAACCTCAATCCGGCCCTGGACACAAGTTCTAATGAGAGAGGGAAACTTTTCTGTCTCATTTCTCTGTCCACGTGCCATGAGTGGAGCCCCATGGACTCTGTGGGGTTGGCTTTCGAGAATGCATGTGCAGGATTGGGCTCTCTGCCTCTTGCAGTCTCCCTCTCCCCCCGGAATTGCTTGCAAAGCCTTTTCCCTTCCATCCTGCTGCTGTCTCGGGCAGCCAGGGGGCGTCCCCTGCTCTGCTTCAGGAAACTGAATTTATTCCGCCCCGTGAACTTTCATTTTCAGCTCTGAGCGAACGTTCGTCTCACAAGCTGAACGATTTCAGGGAGAGCGGAGGAAGAAGCAGCATACAGAGCAGAGCAGAAATAGGAAAAATCCACTGATGAAGAGAGAATTATTGTGATCTCCAAAAAGGTAGGGGGAAGAGATGGAAGCTGCAGGTGGGGGGGGCAGGCAAAGGAGTCCAAACCGATTAGTTTTTTCATGGTGCAATTCTGTACGTGTTGGCTCAGAACTGAGCCCAATGGGATGGTTAGGACTGCAGCTCACAGGCAAAGCATTTCTGTATGAAGAAATCGAAATAGGCATTCAGAATTTGCTGGTTGTAGCCATCCAAGGGGGTGTTTGCATGATGACAGGATGAAACCTGGCTCACGAAATGTTTGCCCATGAAAAGATGAGGGTTGGTGATGCCTCGCTGAGGGGACTTTATGCGAGGATGGGGACAGGGGAGGAATTCAGTTCACAGTTAAAACTGAGCCTACATAATTTGCACTTTCTGAAATAAAATGGAAACTGAAACACAGCCAACCTTCGCGATTCACACTTTCCTGAATTTTGTGATACAGTTTTCCAGCCAAACAATGTATATGAGAATGCAAAAAGCAGGGGGAAGTGTGGAATAAAATACATATATTACTTTAAAAACAAAATAAAAAAATCCATGCATTATGATGGGGGAAATTGCTTGCAAGAATGTGTACATACAAAAATGTTTTTTTAGGAGAGATTTGCACTAAATGCTGGTGAATTTGCAGGAGGTTTGTTTTATTTTAAATGCAGATTGCTGCACAAATTTAGAGAGCTGTATTTGTCAAAATGAGAAACTGAGAGAACTGATTTGAGGCAGGGCTTAGCCTCAGAACCTGTTTTGAGTGCTACAACTCTGCCCAGAAAAAAAAATTAAGTACCAGTAATTGCATATAGAATAAGGAAACAAAACCCAAGATTTGGGGTGGATTCATGGCCAAAATATTTTAAAATTATTTGAAGAATTTGTGGTAGGATCAGTTTTGCTCTAATTCCTGACGGCACCAAGTTTTACCCTCAGGCTCAGCTGACTAAGCACGAAAAGTGATTCCATCTCTTGACACATTTAAAAGCCTTTTTTGCCTGAGAATGATATCCCTGAAGTCTGACCCAGCCATTTCATGGCACACCAACTGCACAATTGTAGAAATGTCTGGATTGGTATCCGTTTAGTGGGTGTGTGGTCTTTTGAATTTGTAAAACATTTCCTCTTCATGTGTGTCATGCTGGTGGTTTTCGTTCTGTAAATCTGCACATCAGTGGAAATAAAGAAATAAGTGGGATTTTACTGGTATTTAAAATAAAAATAAAAATGTATGGACTGCAAAAATAAAAATCTGCCACAGAAAGTAGCTTGCAATTGTTCGTACAGCCGTAACTCTGTCGTTTGCAGGGAGAAGAGACCGGGGCGGGTGAGCCAGCGGCAGCGAGATATGGCAAAGCAGTCAGGATCCCCCAAGGTAAGTGGGAACCAAGGTGCCATTTAGGAGATATCCGAATCCTGGCCGGCTAAAGGAGTCCAGCTCTCCTCCCAGCTCTCTTGCAGGACAGAGGAAGTAGCTTTTGCAGTCCCAGTTTGGTCCTCGTGATGCTAATGGAGGAGGAGCTTTTGTCAATTGTCACTTCAGCGATAAGGAAAAATCCTGGGGTGAGGATTTCCTCCGCTGCCTGGCTCGTCGGGGTGCCACTCCCCGCGGACCCCTCTGGTCAGCAGGAGGAGGAGTCTCCAGCCAAGTTAACAGCGGCCAGTAGACCTGATCTTTATTTGTTGCAACAAGGTTCAAACACACAGAGAATAGGAACCCCGAGCTTGGGGTTGCGTGAACTTTTAAGACCTTCCGCTCCTTCCCATAATACATTTCCAGATACATCACAAATAGGTCACAAAGTAGGAGTGTTTGGCATGTATAAACATGAGCCCATCACCCACTCCTGGCAATAACCCCAGTTCCTGACACCTTTTAACTACCCTCTCCCCCAAGGAACACAGGCCCACACATTTATGATAATCCTCTCTCAAGTTTGCACTTTTGAGGACCCGTGTCCCGGGGCGTTGGGTTTGCTGACTGAAGGCTGCTAGTAGCTAACATGTTATGTTGCAACAAACATTCCAGGGGCAGAAGTGGTGGCTCAGATCCCGTCGGAAAGATTCTGGTAAGTGTTCTCCCATTGAGTTTAACATCCTGCTGCATAGGATAGGGAATATCATAGAGGGTTGCCATGTGCCCTCTTTTTCCAGTAAAGGTAAAGGGACCCCTGACCGTTAGGTCCAGTTGTGGCCAACTCTGGGGTTGCGGTGCTCATCTCGCTTTACTGCCAAGGGAGCCGGCGTACAGCTTCCGGGTCATGTGGCCAGCGTGACGAAGCCGCTTCTGGCGAACCAGAGCAGCACACGGAAACGCCGTTTACCTTCCCTCCGGAGCGGTACCGATTTCTCTACTTGCACTTTGACGTGCTTTCGAACTGCCAGGTGGGCAGGAGCAGGGACTGAGCAACGGGAGCTCACCCCGTCGCGGGGATTCGAACTGCCGACCTTCTGATTGGCAAGTCCTAGGCTCAGTGGTTTAACCCACAGCACCACCTTTCCCCCATCTTTTTCCAGTAGAAGTTGGCAAATGTGTCCTCTTTTTTGCTCCTCAAAATATGTTTGTGTGTGTGTTTATTCCATATACAGTGGTACCTCGGTTTAAGTACTGAATTCCTTCCGGAGGTCTGTACTTAACCTGAAACTGTTCTTAACCTGAAGCACCGCTTTAGCTAATGGGGCCTCCTGCCGCTGCCACGCCGTGGGAGAACAATTTCTGTTCTCATCCTGAGGTACCACAGTACCTGAAAGAACACTGTAAACAATTAAAAACATTAGCAGGACTACAATAACACTTGCAATGTGAAAAAGACTATGGTTAAAATTTGAGTTATATAGATAAATAGAGAATGGTATGAGATGCAGAAGAAAATGTTGTTTGTGGACTCCACGGAGGGGAGGAGGGAGGTCGGAGAATTCAGAGAATTCAATATTTCATTATTGTATTCTAAGTTTGAATGTCAAATCATAAATGTAAAATTAATTTAGAAATTAATTTTTTAAAAACAACAACAAAAGGGACGGGTAGGAAGGGGGACTCCCCCCCCCCTTATGTGTAATGGATCCCCAGGGGATCCACTGCAAGAATGTGGTTGGTCAAGGGAGCTGTGGGCTCAAAAAAGTTGAAGAACACTGCTCTGACGTGATCTTTCTAATTCACAGAGGACAAGGAAGAATCAGAACCGTGTATCGTCCTTCTTGGCAAGGCCGGTGTGGGGAAAAGTGCCACAGGGAACACTCTCCTCGGACGGGAGAAATTTCACTCGGCTTTTTCAGCTAAGCCGACAACTCAGAACGTCGAGAAGGCGAGTGGGGAATTTAAGGGCCAGAAGTTTTCTGTGATTGACACACCCGCTGTCTCTAGTTCAGAATCTCTCAAACAGCACAAGCGAGAGATCAAAAAACTCCGCAAGTCCAGTCCTTACGTTCTGGTCTTGGTGACAACAGTGGGGCCGTTTCACTCCAGAAGACAAGAAAACTGCTAAAAAGGTCAAGAAGGTGTTCAGGAAGAAGTTTGGGAAGCGCATGCTTGTCTTGTTCACCCACAAAGAGGATTTGAAAGGTGAATCCTTGAAGGACTATGTGGAGAAGTCCGAAAACAAGGTTAAGAAACTGGTTGAGAAATGTGGGAATTGCTGCTTCGCTTTGAATAACAAGGCAGCTGGAGAAGAGAAGGAGGAGGCCTCCAAGCTGCTGATGGAAAAGCTCTGGGAGATCCTTCACAGGGACGGATCAAGGCCCTGCACAGAAAAAGGGAAAGAGGAGGAAAGGGGAAAGAATTGAAGGATGCTCTCATATCATCTAGTTCATAGTGTTTCGTTTCTTTCTAAAATATGTGGGGCTTCCCTTGTGCCTAATCTGGAAGTTGCAATGAGTGCAGGATGTCACCATTGTTGACAGCAGCAGGTGTTTGTCAGCCTAGGATGCCTGGGCTCAGAGACCTGCCCTGGCTCCCGATTTGCTGCCAGGCCAAGTTCAAGGCATTGCTCTCAGGATATTAAGTCCGTAACAGTTTGGGAGCAGTTTAGCCCTGAGATCGCCTGACCCCACATGTGGTCTCTGGATGCTTTGATTGGCAGAATGGGCACAGTTACAGGTGCCATATAATATCTGTTCTGCATTGATAAGTAATTGCTCTTTCGGTGTGACGGCACCAACCCTCCTGGCTATCAACATCAGGCAGGCAACTTTGCTTTTTTTTGCTGCCTGCAAAAAACATTTTTGATCAGACAAGGCTACTCACATATTTAGAATACTGATAAGTTTGTAGTTTGTCGCTGGTTTTAATTTGTGGATGTTTTCATTGTTATTAATCATAATCCTGTTGTTTTATTCATTTTGCAAAGCAGTTTGAGGTTTTCTACAATCAAGAGGTAAAGGAATTTTATGAAAATAATAACATAACTGTCTGCAGTTTCCTAAACCCCACATAGGAGTGGATACGTCAATCCACTTCAGTTCTCTCAGTTTCTCATTTTTCCTGTCTTAAACTCTCTGGAAATGCATTATTTTTATTTTTGAACCATTATGAAAGTTTAGCCATATTTTTGTGTCAATTTCTCCTAACAAACACCTTTGTAAATTACATACATACTTTTGCAAGACACAGTTCCTAATAAAACGCACCTTTGCATGTCATTTTCACGGTTATATGCGTCCTTGTGAACTCCAGCTAGAGAACTGCGTCGTGAGATTCCACAAAGGGAGGATTTTAGATATTGGCTGTTTCATTTTGCTTTGGAAAGTGGAAATTTACTATTTCCACCTTTCAAAGGAAGCTGGATCAAATTTGTCCTGCATCCCTCATTCCACCTCCTTGTTCCTCAGACCCTTTAATCGCCCATCTGTCTGGAATTTGTAGGGGCAGCCCCATGGGAAACCCTATTGAACTCGGTGGGACTTACTTCTGAGTAAAAATGGTTCGGCTTGCAGTGTGAAGCTGCCTAGTCTTTACCCAGTTACCTGGGTGAAATATACTCAGAGTCGCAAAGTGATTTCATGCTCTTTATTCAGCTCATAGTGGTGAGGAGGAATGAATGAAAGTCCCCTCACAGTATCTGCTTTATATACATTATTTACACAATGGGCTGCACATGATTGGCTATTCCGGAATTCTACTGTAAGCCAATCAGGTTGTGGATTCACTTCTATCTGGAGCAGGATTGGGTGGTTCCTGCCAACCAATCATACTGCTGCATTGTTCTAGGACCAATCAGACTGCTGCATTCTGATCCTATTGTTCTAGGACCAATCAGACTGCTGCAGTTTGGATCCTATTGTTCTAGGACCAATCAGACTGCTGCATTTTGGATCCTATTACACTCAGTACATGAATACCGTGGATTTACATATGAGTAGACAGCGCAAGGCTCCATTTACAATTAAGGAATAACCCCCCCCCCCGTGTTTCCCGAGAAATGGCTGGCAGCTGAAGCATTGGAATTACGGAATGGAAAGGGGATTGGTGAGCTTTTTCCTTCAAAATTATAGGAGGGCTTTGTGTGCCGCCATCACCATTTCCTCCATTTGGTGCAGGAATTTTATTTTCAGGCTAAACAGGAGTCCATTTTTGCTCCTACACACACTTTTAATTGTTCTCCCATACTTCCGAGGGGAGGAAAAAGGAAAACCGGGGCATTCCAGGATCAAAATCAGAAACTGGATGGCTTATGCAATTCCTGGTCTGTCCCTGGAAAACAGGGGCTCTTTGAGAAGATGCCATTCTCCCACCTCCTGGTCGGATTATCCCTGATTGAGATTTCAGAAGGCTCTCCCGGCTCAGGAGGACAAGGAAGGCAGAGAAAGCTGCAGGGAAACTATTGGAGTAAACAGCAAAAGCAAAAGCGAAATCTATGTGCTGTGGACCATTTCTGAGAATTTGCACTGTTAGAAATAACACCCTGCCTAGTGTGGTACACCCCGATAGGGCAGGAATTTTTCATATCAGTCATATCTATCTTCTGCTCAACCTTAAATGCAAAACAAGATAGCAGTTTCTCTCCTCTTTGCACAACAGCGCAGCAGAGATCTCGCAGTTTCATTTCACATGCTATGTTTTGTTTAAGCTGCACGCAAACCTTAATTTCACATGCATATATCTGGAGTGTGTTACAGGAATTTATGTAAAGGTTGGGGGCGTGCAGGGTGTTTGCCCTCCAGCAGACATCACACACACACACACACACACACACACACACACACCAACTACCAAACTCAACACAATCACTCCTGCAAATGTCCCCACAAAACACTTCATCACAGTTTTTTTCCCTTTCTCTATTCAAAGGGCCTCCACTGCACATTAACGAATGCAACAATTCACTGATAAATATATCTACATACTGGCTCACTGGGAAAACCTTAGAAAGGCATGTAAAATCTCTCCTGTCTGGATTTGTGCCATTCCAACTTTGTTCTGTTCAGGGAAGGAATAGCTATCAAGGGGGGAGTCTGGGATGTGGGCAACCATAATCCCTGAAACCTGAGATCACGTACTCAGCAGCGTCTTGCACAAGAGATACTCCCTGGCATCCTGGCAAATGGGTTCCAGGCAGGTAGTCATCTCATGGCCAATAGCCAACCACCCAAGAATGGATTGTGCTCCCGGGTCAGGACAAAGAGGTGACCTGGAAACCCAGGAACTTGTCAATACTTCCTTTGTATCACTCGATGGGGGTAAGGTGGAGGGCAAGAGAGGGTTGGGGGCAGAACCCGATGGATGGGTTTCTGCCAGAGACTCCTCCCAATTTGTGACATATGTGTGATGTATCTAAGATGTGTGCATGATGCTTCACCAAAGGTGTTTGTGGGGGAATGTGGGGGATGTGAAACACAACTACAACATTCCTAGAGTGAACATGTTTACACATGGGGAGGAATGTTTGTCCAGCCAGCAGGTAAACTTCCTGTTTCCTTCTGGGCTGGGACAGACTTCCTCTACATGTGACTAGAGGTGGGTGTGGCCTCACCTGTGCAGGTAATGACAAAAGCACAGGGCAGGGCAGCCATCTCTCTCTCTTTGATTACATGCATCTGCGTAGCCAAAGATGCTCTAAGAGAGGACAAAGGGACTGTCTTCTTATGGAATAGTTTGCAGGTATATGTTACTTTTCTAAGCTAAGTCTGCCTTCTGGGATCCTATTGTGAACAGAATGATGTGTGAGTAAACTCTTTTTATACTTTTATAGAAGACTGTGTCGTGTCTTATCTTTTATGAGGGAATAAGGGGGAAATACCAGAACAGTTATTATAGAGGCTTTAGCGAGCCTGAGCAAACGCATCCGCTGTGAGTTTAAAAGGGGGAATGTTACTCTGCTAAATTGTGAACTTGTTTACACAAGTTGGAAAGGCTATAATCAGACAATATATCCTCTCCTGCCTCCCTGAACATCCCCACAAAAAGAAAACTTATGGAAGAGGAAGCTTCTGCCATGTGGAAGTCCTGTTGCAGCAGTCTTTTGAATAAAAGATCAAGCCGACCAGCTGCTGTTTTGCTCCTCATTTTTTGGCTGGTGTCTTTGTTTGGCAATCCAAGTGAGCCCTGGAATTTTCCTATAGCAAGTGTAGCATGCACAGTGCGATTGCAGGGAAAGTGTGCAAAATCTGTAGAAGGACTTTAATTTTAATTGCTGTATTTTTCCGTCTATAAGATGCCCCCATGTATAAGACGACCCCTATTTTTGAGCCCCAAATTAAGCAATAAATATTTTAAACGTTCCATGTATAAGACAATCCACAATTTTAAACTTTTTAAAAAATGGGGGAAATATAGTCTTATACAGAGAATAATACGGTAAGGTTATTCTCCCCAGTTGGGGGCAGTTTATTATATTCCACCATTCTAGCACAGGGGTCGGGAACTTGAGCTTGCAGCTACACAATCTGCAAAATGCCAGGAAAAAGAAAGAGGCTCTGAAGGCAAATCTTCTGATTCCATGATAATGGGGCCACAATGGTCTCTGAGCTTGTGCAGAGTGCCTTGCCTTTCTGCTGGGCAGCTGCTGCCTGCACCCCTTTAAAACTTCAGGACAGGAATAAGGGACACAAAGACAGTGAGAGTCAAGGTCGTGGAGGGAAACACCGGGACCAAAATAGCTGCAAAGACACACGAACAAAAATGTTGAAATGTCTGTAACTTCCTTTGCAGCAGAACTTAGCAGCATTAACCCTCACGATTGCTTTTGTGTGGGCAAAAACTTTTTCTTTAAGCCAACGGCTTTTTCTGGCAGGCTGTGGGTGGAGTTTTGGCCATTTCTCACTGGAGGAGAATGTAGTTTATTGCAGCCTGTCCTTCGTTTCCAGCTTGGAGCCGACAGCAGCCGCCTCCTCTGCTCCTTGTGTCTGCACTTCAGGAAAAGAATGTCGTCCAAGAACGTCCAGAAGTAGGAAAGATCTGGAGGAGCCACACCTGTGATCTCCAAAGAGGTAGATGGGAAGGGGTGAAGAGAACAGGGTCAAAACCGGAGACGTTTTTCAAGGAGGCTCTCTCCTAAGAAAGACCCAGGGTC